TCTTAAGGTGAAGTCAACATTATGGAGATCGGAGGTCATTCCGGGTGCCTGGTTCTTAGTCGGGAATATGGGAATCTATTATATAGGGGTTACTGTATATAGTGATTATATTCCTTCATTCCCTACCAAGAACCACTAAGTTTATTGTGCATGTAAGCCAAAGGTTCCTCGTTCTCGGCCGTGCTGAAGCACACCTCAGGAATAAGCTTGTCACTGCAAAGGATATGGGGCTTACATAGGGACTATAGGGGTTACGTAGGGGCAGATGCAAGTGTGGCAAGGAATGGAAAATCAGATTGAAAAGCAAATGGAGGATGAAGTGGAAACTGGGAGGTTCACACGGGACGTGCGGCTTGAAATTAACTTGCTGGTTGGCAGAAGGGAAAGAAATGGTAGTTAGCAAAATATTTTAGTCCTTGTTATAGGGAGCCTGAAAAAAGTACCCATAGTTTTGGTAACCCCCAAACCCTAGATAAGCCCCATATACCCCTATACAACCCCTATACTCTTTTTCAAGGTACCCCTATGCCCCCTAGATAACCCCATAATTTGGGAAACCCCCAAATGGACCAGGGCATGGGCCCTGCGATATGACTGGGAGTGTTACAAGGACTACAGTAGGGATCCATTCCTCCATTCTTAGGGATCTTAGGGTTTCGGGTTTAGGGTTTAGGGTAGCAAGCCACCAGTAGTATAGGTGATATGTGAGGAATATGCGCGGCTGTATGCTGCCCAAGCGCTCGCTCTCTGTTATACGCAGGAGCCCGAAAAATCAATACCCAGGGTACAAAGCAGATGTAAATCCGCCAAGCAGGAGACTGTCGCGCTTCTCACGCTTTTTGGAGATCTGCAGCTGTCAATCCATACTCTGCTCTTTGGCCACAAAGGTCCATGGGTCTCCCCCAATTCCATGAAATTGTTGGTGCCATATGACTGTGTGGACCCGAAGTAGGTACTTGTAGCATGTGTAGACCTTGGGGCACAATTGGGCAATCTCCTGGCCCTAATTGATGAACAGCCTCTCCCTCCTTCTCCTACTTAGACCCCCCTCCAGTACTTATTATTACGGGGATCAATTAAAACTTCCTTAACAATCCATTGATTAAATTCAAGGTGAAAAGGATGTAACATGGTACTAGTTCAAGTCGATTCAAGACGGTAAATACGATCAGTTAGAATCTAATTAAGTCGCCTTTTAAATCTGTTGAGATTCAATTACAATCTGATTAACACCAATTCAAACCTAGTAAAGATCCAACTAGAAATTAGAAGGGTTTAAAGCCGTGATAAGTGTAACACAAAACAAAAACATGTTAAAACGCTGTACAACCCATTTATAATTTCTTCGAACCATAACACAAGCAATTAACGTCGTGTTTTGATTTCGCATAAAGTCATTGATACACATTGCATTCAAAAAGCAACCTTATTATAAACCCACTTACAACTTCACAGCCCCCCCTAAATGATTTTCATGGGGAACCTTTGTAGAAGCAATCTTGGGCCCGTTTACAAGCAGTCTTCAGATAATTTCTGGACTCAGGGATTCTGTAGGAAGAGTATTAGGGTTTAGGGTTTAGGGGGGATTATGATTTGGGGAACGGATTATTTGCAGGCGTAGAGGCTTGCTGTCCAGAGGGTTTGTACTGCAGGGATTGCAAAGGCCCTGCTAGTCAATCCTTTGTCTTTTGGGGCGAGGAAAACACTGGGCTGGCCTTGGGGATACAACAATATTTTCCCTAACTGGTTTCATAAGGACCCTATATATTCATATTTTTCAAAGGGTTCCAAAGGCCAATCCAGAACAGAGAGTCCCACCAGAAAAGGATGGATCCCCGCACAGGTCTTTTTAGCAAAGCCGCAGCTCCACAGGGCCCCTTTTCCAGGTTCCAAAAGAGGGCAAGCACCAGACAATATGTCAAAAGCAGCATCAGTACAATGGCATGCTGAGGTTCATGTCCATCGCTGGTGGCTTGCTCCTGGCCTTCATATTTCCCTAAACCCTAAACCTCAGCTTTCGGGCTGAGGGTTGGGAGTGGTTGGCTTTCATTCTCGCGCTTGTGAGCATTCAGGATTCGAGGATGATGCGGGTTCTAATCGGACACAGGTAATCCATTAGCCTTAGCCCCTTTTGATCCTTTTTGTCATATTCAAGAGCGTAATTAAGTAACACCCAAAGCATTTCGCTGAGGCAGGGGCTCGCTCGTAACAGTCGGGCTAGCGCTGATGCAAGGTTCAGGATTGGCAATAATATTAATTGGAGTCAATAGTACTAGAAGCAACAGAAAGAATAGCATCAATAAGGATCACAACAATTTTCCTGACATATGGGAGTTGCACTCTACGAACGACGTAGACGCTAAGCAAGATTCCCACTACGTAGATGTCCGCGTGCACGGAATCTGTTGGTTGGGCGGTTGGGTATATGTGAGCCATAGACAACTCCTTAAAGCCGATTATATGATATATGAGGGATGACAGGGTTACTAAGGGGCATACTAGAGTTTGGACTATGGCTCATATGATGCCTGTTGCGCAATCTGATGCTTGCGAACTACCACGCCCATAGCCAGTATTTCTACGTGCACTTGGCACTTGGCTCTACGAAGCTTTTACTTGCCTTGCGTGATCTATGTCGGCAGTTACCTCAGACAAGCATGGTACGGACATCCATGATGTGAGATCCGGTTTCACATCGGGCTCACTCACCCTCCAGACAGCTATACGGTCTCTGCAAGTGAACGCACCGAAAAATGAGAGGCAGGGTAGTCCAATTTCAGGTGTTCAGGATGCGGCTCCAAAAGTCTTTTGTCATTCCACACCCGACAAACCCTGTGCTAATTCGCTGTGTCTTTAACCTCAAGTTTTCATTTTCCGCACGCCTCTGCAAAACCGAGTCCAACATTGTTTGTTCGTTAGAACTCCCACCAGGGTAGTAGCCTGCATGTACACTTGATTTGTTCCGCACATGTAAACATGTATGTATATGTTCGTGTGTGCGCGCTTGTAAGTACACTGCGATCCCGGGATGGAAATAAGGATCTTTGGGATTCTTGGCTGAGGCCTACAGCCTAATACTCTCTGGACCCTAAACCCTGTAAAGCCTACACTCTAGACCCTTTAAAACCTAAAGCGTAAACCCTCTAAAACCCTAAACCCTAAATCCTGTAAACCCTAAACCCTTTCAACCCTAAACACTAAACAACCTGAACCATGCAGAGGTCATGGGTCGAGGCGACCAATGCACTGCAACAGGTCGGTTGGAAACTTGATAGCAGCAGGGTTTAGGCTTAGGGTTTAGGGTTAGGTGTAGGGTTTGGAAGGTTTAGGGTTTGTAGGTTTCAGGGTTTATAGGGTTTAGGGTTTAAAGGGTTTAGGGTTTAGGGGGCCATGGGTCAGGACTGTAGTTACATGGTTATATGAGGATGGTATCCCCCTTGATGGAGAATCGAATGAAAAAGAAAATAGAAATGAAATGGAAACTGAGGGCCCTGGGTCGGGATTGTAAGTAGCTTCCCCAAATAAGGGGACCCTCAAAAAGACCCCAAAACATTGCAATCCTTACATACGGAACCTCAAAATGGAACCTCCTATTGTGGGAAACCTCTACACAGGGCCCAAGGGTTGGATAAGGCTAGCGCTGCCTAATTACGAACTCCCTGCGCGACAATGTGCTACGGGGCTTCTACTGGAGAGATGTAGTGTGTTAGCGTAGCGTGCAGCATGGCTTTAAAGAGTTCCAGGGCTTAATCATGGATGGAACGTGCAGGGGAGTACTATAGGGGGCCGAAATAATGATCATCAGGCAGAATCAAGCAGGAAGCCACATGAAACATGACATGGGATGTGGGTTTAGAAAAGGAAGTTTATATAGGCACCCATCGGGAAACTTTGCCAATATTATGGTCTCAGAATCCTTGCACCATCATGGTATAGGGTACCTCAAACAGACCTTAGCATGATGTTCGTATCCATTTGGTACCTGTGGTAGCAACCCTGAACCCTAAAACCCTAAGCCCTAAACCTTGTAGCAGCGACCTGAAGCGAGGGCTGAGGCTGCAAGCAGAGGATTAGGCCTGACGATGTTCAATAAGATGCAAGACCACAACACCCACTGTGAAACACTCGCACATACAGGGGACTACAAGAGGGGTTTTTAAGGGGGATGCAAGGAGTTCAGACTATGGCTCACATGGGGTTTCCTAAAACTAGGGGCTCCTTTCCTGGGTTCCCGCAGGGATTACAGGTACGGGTCGAATTCTGGTTTTGCAGCATGGGCATTGCTGTTCGTTTTGCTATTAATAAGGTTCCTCCTAGAGTGTTTTGTTTTCCTCAAGCATAGGATGGTCATTCTGAAGCCCAGTGAGAATTGTCTTTCAGACCCTATCCCGTGGGTCGTGTAAGAAGGATTTATAGGCATTTTGGGGCGTGTGGGGGTTTCCAAACATTCGGAGTCCTTCCCGACAATAATGATTACGGCGAATCGGGGTCTTTGTGGCAGCTGTCTTTTGTGGAAGCCCCTCTGTGATGAAATGCCTATTGGCGTATACTTTGCCCTAAACCCTAAACCTAAACCCCAAACCCTAAACCCCAAACCCTAAACCCTAAACCCTAAAGCAAATCCATTGCGCAACAGGATTTTGGTTTGGTGTAACGCTGGGGTGGCCTACCAGTGTAGCTTGCTGATGTTGGTCCATCATTCCGCTCTTTGCAACCCAGCTGCTCTGGGTTGCAGTGTGATCTACTCAGGATGTGGGTCTACATCTTCTGCTGCTATGTTGCTTGCTTGCAAAGATGGAGATTGTTGACTTTGTTGCTTCACTGAATATTAATATCATCTTGAAATCCGGGTGTTTGACCCGAAGTTCTAGTGACAAACACCTCTTGGAAAAGAGGTTGCTTTCTGTGTCTTCGCCGTGCTCAACGTGATGACAGGCGACGTTGGGGTACCGGCTGGCCTTTAGTCGACACGGTGATCGAGTCGCAACAGTCATCTAGATAGTGTTACCGGAGCCAGTTGCGTGAGTATGTCTCATAATGGTACAGTAATCAAAGTAAAAATGGTAATGATTGTACTATCAGGAATAATAGTAATAAAGTAAATCAGTTCAAATTTGGAGGGCCGCAGAGCACAGACTCACAGTGTTGAGAAGCCACGGGCCTGTACACCTACCAACCTTGACAGATTCACTTGGTAAGGCCTGGAGTTGTTCAAAAAAAGCGTTTAGATCAATCTCTACGGGCCAGAAACAGGAATCCCAAGGCATCTTCAATCATGGAATCCCCCCTTCATGCAGCTCCCCCCAACAGCAGGACTAATAAGCCATAATAAGCCTGCATAAGACCTAGTAGTCTCCAAAATTCCGTCCTGACAGCCTTAACTCGTGAGGGCCCATGTGTTAAATCCTACATCCTGAGCCCTAAGGATCGTACACCTTGATCCAAGATTTTTCGAATTCCACAGCAACAATGGGTAGTTGGGCAGGTTACCCCATGAAGTGTAACCAATACCTGGATAATCTGTAAGGATGGCCATGGTATCGCTTGAATGACTGACGCATGGTTGTGTGCCGTGGGCGCTGGGTCTAACAGCAATTAGGATGTCGGGTTGAGTGCAAGCTTGTCTTGCATTCACTTAAGGTTGCATCATGAGCAACCTCTACTATGACTATTATTTACTATTATGATGACTCCATGATTACTGTTATCGTTAGTACTACTATTATTTGTTACTACCGTTTTTGCTAATACTTCTTCTATTACGTTTATTCCCCTTGTTCTTAGAACTGCAAGCTGCTGCGAAGCTCGGTCCGTGCACTTGACGGCCTGATCTTCGGTAGAAGTTTCACCTTCGAGATGGGGTTGTGTTGACCATGGAACAATGGGTAATGATTGGAGTAATAGTAATATTACAATGGTAAGAGTAGTAATAGTAACGATGACAGTAAGAAGAGAGTGTCGGGTACGTCCTTCTTAAAAAGCATGTGCAATATCTCCATGGCTGTTGGCGTTTGTGTATGCTTGGCAATGTTTCGTGCAAAATTACCGCCAATACTTGCGTGACCTTGATGTTCTGACCCTTGCCATATCCTCACCAGGGATTGGAAATTGATCCGGAAGTTCCAGCGTAACGGCGCGTGCCGCAGTGTTTTGTCGGGGGCTGTTGTTTCCCCTGTTTGGCTTTGGAATCGTCCGGATGTTGCAGATCACGCTTTCCTCTCGTGTAGCTACCGTGGTCATTGAGCCCACATTGCTTCGGATTGCGCGCATAGCCTGTTATTGCATGCCATGCCGTGTATGTAAGCCGGCCGAGGGCCTTCATAAGCGGTTGGATTGCGTGGCCGAAGATGATAGCTTGTGCTTTCGTGCTCTCCCCTACTTGGACAGGGTGAATGAGCTTATTTGCTCCAAGTGGCAGAGGGTCTGCACGCCAGTTGTCTTCCTGTTGCTCACTCCTGCGGCTCGCTGAGTTCCATGAGATGCGTTGTTGCTATGAGCGGTGATACACGAGGATGTCCTGTCCGATTGGGGGCTGACTGACATAGATGCGCAGTGTGTTTGCTTGATGCCGGGCCCACTGTCCCATGGGCGGTTTGGATGGGTTGCCAAGGGTGAAAGGTCATGCTTCCCTTCTTTTTGGTCCAGTGCGCCAAGAGGCACAAAGATGCCTGATTGCTTGCTTGCTATCTGTTTGGGATTACTCGTTGTTTAGCAGTGAGGGTCGCAACAGCCGCTAGTTGCACTGTACCATTCATGGTGTGCAGTGAGTCCAAACGCTGTCTTGTCCATTCCGTGGTTGCTGGCATCTTAACAAACCTATATATTATATTGTTGTGTATATATATATACATACCTGCCCAGCTGCGGAGGTGTTTTCTGCAACTCTGCTATCAAGGGCGCTGAGAAGGACCAAGAGATGGCGACGCAGGCAATTTTGCGTTCACGGTGATGATGTGCGGAACATGTATATCCTCGGGTCTATTGGTGACGTGTGACGTTTTCAGAATGGTGCGTCCTGGAGGTGGAACTTTCGCGCAAATCCTTTTGTACAAGACATTGCCGCATACTGCCATCTCAAACATCTGTTGTGAAAAATGAATTTCTCAGCTTGCCTTGTTTTAGTTGGAAGCACGACCTTGGTCAGGGGTTTGAGGTAAACTGTTACCAGTAATCTTGACGGAGCTGGTGCCATGTCTATTCATGAAGCTGAGTATTGGCAAGATTACCAACTGGACAAAGGTCCCACAGCCGTGGAATCCGTACATGAACCTTCACATGCTTCACACTACTTTGCAGTCTTAATGTTTTCCAAATTGGTGTTCAACGCGCCCTAACACCTTGAACTCGTAAAGTGAACAAGCAAAAAAAACACGGTTGAAGGCTTGTATGTAATGTTGATGTGGCTGCTATCAGGATGATGATGCTTCCTATTAATGTTATCAACTTTGATATGGAGGCACTGATGGTGGACAAGCATCGTCTGAAGGAAGGGTTGACGAAGCAACTCGGCATATGGGAGTTGTTCAAAAGCCCTCGGATAGAAACGTGAACCCAATTTAAGAAAGGAAGGGCCTAGGGATCAAGCTAGCAGGGCCTCAAACTCAAATGGTCCAATTTGTTGAATTTCAGTTGGTCTTCCATATATAGGTGCATGTGGGGTTTTTCGTTTTACCAGCTTGTACGAAGCAAGTCACAATCTATAGACATGAACCAGCACTGTTCATTTCTGCGTCTGGCGCTCCCCAAAATAAGTTGAAGGCAATTCTGCACAATGGGCCCCATAGCCTACTTACAGGCGTCTAGATCTCCGGGATCTTCGCGGGGACGCTGCATCATGGGTCTATGTATATAGTGGTATTTTTTGGAAGGTTTCTGGGAAATTGGGTATGCTTAGTTGCCCCGAAGCAGGGTAGAGCTTGGGGTGTTTCACAAAATTGCGACTCTTTCATCCCTACAGCGACACCGGATCCGCGTACTCACTCACCAGAACCAATGGAAATGTAAAGCATGTATCACTGGGGAGCGATTGGTAGAGTTTGTAGGAGCTTGGGGTTCAGGCTTTCAGCCGACTTACTGGCCCTTGGGAAGGTCTGGGTTTCCTAACAAAAGTTTGACCAATAGTCGTATTTGAAGCTCCTTTGAGTAGAGTGTACGCAGGTTATGGAGATACACCCATAGGCACATGACTACATCACCAAGCACGACTTCTTAAACATCGGGTTCCGGGCTTCAGGGAAGCTTAACTTTGGGACATATTCACGTCGACATGAGATCAAGTGGTGCACACATGCTGTGCAATCATCAACACAACGTGGAGGGTCGCAGGGCTTAGATGAACAAGTTATACTTCGCAGAGTAACCCTGCAGTCTGCCTGACACATAGGAAGTTTCCGAGACCTGTGTGTAATCACCGCATGCTCAATATTAATCAGCCATATTATAGCGATAAAGGTTTTGTAAGCTCTCTACCTAAAGGGCGCTCACCACCCCACTGATTCTGTGAGTGGGTGGGCGCCATCGAGCGCAAGCGAAACAATGGCAGGCTTTGGTGGGCTGCACGACCGGCAAGAGCCGTTTGACTCGCTTGACTTTGTCAGAGATATTATAGTCTAGATTTGAACGGAAACCGTTGCTCTCCTCCCCCTTGCTGGGACGTTTGTGATTTGAATGAAGGCCTGAGTCTTTCCTGGGGCCGTGGATGTCGATGGAGGCTCTCAAAGATGGCTGGAGGCCCTTGGAACAAAAAAGACGGCCAGGAGAAAATTGTTGCCCATTGCTGGTTGCAGCCTTACAACGGTCGGCCTGCGGCCTCCCTCCAAGTTGCCAGAACATAAGGCTTGGTCTGGGTACTTTTGCCCCTGTGTTGGGTGGAGGCAAATAGGCCTCAACATGAGCACTCTCGGAGCGGGAAGAGCAAGCCGAAAGGGCTCTCAGGCCCAAACTAGGTGCGTAGACGCCTGACCACAAATTAGAAGGCGCATGGCTGGCAGCACGAGGCACATGATTGTGAGGCTTCATGACAGCAGTGATGGTTTCAATCCTCGTGCCTCCAGAACAGATGGTAAGTACCAAGCGGAGCGCCCCGGAGCAGAATTACTTACTATTACTATTATTATTATTGTTACTATTACTATTATTATTACATCAAAAAGGCTTCAGGCCCAGACCGGCCCGCAACGCAAACCTTAATTTGTTGCTTGACGTGTTGTTTGTAATCCGATCTTTAATGGGCTATGCACACTGAGTTTTTTGGCCTCCAGGACCTCAAGGCTGTCAGGGATTTCATGAACCTAGACCCTCCTCCTACCCTCTATTAGGGCCTAAGTACCTACTATTAGGGACCATATACCCCCAATTAAGGGTACAAGGAGGGTCCTGGTGTGTTGGGCTGGCTCTGGCTTTGGTCTCGGCTTGCTCTGAGTAAGTCTTGGGGTGGGCGTGTCTGCATTGCTTGACAAATCGAAGCCGTAAACCTCAAAACACTAAGCCTATAGTCCCCATTAAGTAGATAGAATATGGCTTTGGGTATATTATAACAAGACCCCCATATACCCCATATTCTATCTACTTAAGGGGGACTATACGTTGAGCCGGACAAGCCCGATCCTTCAAAGCAACCCCAGGCTGTTCAAGGAGATGGATGTGAATGGGGATGGCTCGGTAAGCTACAAGGAGTTCAAGAATTGCCTTGAGGACCCGCACCTAGCAACGGTTCCTCATCGGGATGGCATGCATGATGACTGCTGCGTGTCCCCTTTTTGTATTTATTCAGTATAGACGCTTTTAAGTTGTTTCCAACCATGACTCGATTGAGCTCTCGGCGGTGCTGTTGGTGCAGGAATTTGTGTACTACTTTGGGCCCTAGACCATAGTAATTTGTTCGATGTACAGACATGTTTGAGTTTAAGTTTCGGAATTCCATTCTATAGAGGAATGAAGCGCAGAATTCTCTGCGTTGAACTTGCCTACATTCTTGCTTGCTGCAGCGGTGCTTAAACATGGCAGATGGCGGAAGTTGCCGCCGCTTTTCATTTCCTAGACCCTCCTCCTACCCTCTATTAGGGCCTAAGTACCTACTATTAGGGACCATATATCCCCAATTAAGGGTACAAGGAGGGTCCTGGTTTGTACTTCAGGACGAAAAAGAATTGAAGATCCCGCGGAGTGCAAGGTTTCATCCATGTCCTCTCGGGTTGAAATGCCGCCCCTGCCCATTGCTGACCGAAGCCATGAGGAGGAACTCACCATGTGTATTTTATTGGGGATACTTTGGTACCCAATATTACCCCAATAATGGAGAATCAAATGGAAAAGAAAATGGAAAATGAAATGGAAACTGGGATTAGATAGCTTGCGTTAATGTCTTTCAGGTCATTGTCCAGCCTGTTGGGATGTGGATCTTGTTCAGCCGTAGGAGAAAGGAGTATGACCGCGCGCATAACGCAAGCCGAGCATGAACCACAAAGCCTTATGTAATCCCCGAACCCAATTTCCCTTTAATGGTCCGCAAGTTCCTCTATCACTTCCCGGAAAGCGTATATGCGCATCAAAAGCTTTTGGAGGTTCCTGCGCTAAATTCTTTAATGCCCGTGTCACGTCCTATCTAAACCATCTACAACCCCTACTCTAACTAGATAAGGTTCAAGGTTCGCTCGTGGAGTTCCAGCTGTCACCCCGATACAGTCTGCCCTTCAAACCTTCAGCCATCGCCCCGAAACCCCTGAGCACGAACTCTGAATAAGCACCATACCCCAAGGGTCCAAGCACTTGATAACCATATACTTACCCAAAACCTGTACTACAGTTACTCTGACCCAAAACCCAAGTACCTAATTTTTAGGTACTTGGGCCCTTAGGGATATGGAAGCCCCAAACCTGAAGCTCCTTCAGCCACCGCACTCCTGAACCCTCGGCCCCTCTCAGCCCTGCAACCTCGCAGCTCTAGACCCTAAGACCCACACTGTTGGAGGACGAGCGTGTTAAGACTCTCTTCGAGGCGCTGGAGCTCGGCGCCGGGGATGCGAAGCTTGAGCCGGAAAAACATGTTTTAGGTCTTCTGTTGAGGGACCTTATGTTTAAGTGAGCGTCTTGCGGTACTGTATACTTTCGCTAGATAAACATGAGGACGAAAATGCTCGTTGCTGGGTCTTTCAAGGGTTGTCGACGAAGGTTTTTGAGGGAGATATAAATTTGAAGGTATCGTAAGGGTTTAGAGATTAGGGGTTGGGGTTGCTCGAAAAGGTGCCATCATATGTAGAGGCAAAACACAGAAGTGGTGTTGTTGTTAATAAATGCCCCGCCGAAGGATTGCCAATATTATTCCCTTCTGCAGCGGTCTCAGCAATCAGGATCCCCCCACATGGCGGTAGAAATTGAGAACCAGGACCCTCCTTGTACCCTTAAATGGGGGTATATCATGCTGTTTGAAGAGATTGGCCAGCAAATCTGAAGTCCGACAAGGTTTGCCTACACCGCGCTTATGTCGGGATTACTTGGTTTTTGTTTGTAGGATGTTGGGAGCTGAGTATGCGGAGTGGAGGAGGATTTGTCGAGATGGCTTTCGAGGGTTTCTATGGTCATAGTTATAGGGCTTCGTCGGACTTGGTGTGTTTGGGATCCTAAAGGCCCTGAATCCTGTTGCCGATACATTGCCAGTACATGCCCTTGAGAACTTCAGGGCCCAGACACCATCAAGAAGACAGGGCGAACGCCCATAGTAGGGGTCCATGATTCCAGCCGCAGAGCGCAAGAAAGGAACACAGGTGTGTTGCAAGCGTCCTTCAGATTTTGCTTGGATTCTGTTACATAATTTGATTAGACAAGAACTTCAAGACAAGACGTTGGCAGTCTTCCAGATCCGGGAAGCAATGCCCAGCCCTTTCACAACTTTCGAATTTCCTTGAGCAGAAACCAAACCCGGTGTTGTTGTAAAGTCAACCTTCAGATGCAACAACGAGTATTCGTTTTTAGATATGTCGGCAAAGAATTACTGCGCATGCACAACAAATCCCGAAAGCCCAGCTCCAGCAACTGCGATGTCATGATTGCTTTGCAATCCGTACACAGCTCTTCAGCAATGCGTTTCAAGACCCTATTCCAACAAACCAGCGCCCACACTTGGGGGGGTAATAGCTTCCCACAACGAAAAAGAAGCCTCCCAAAAACCGCCAGGAATCGTAGAAGCCAATGGATATTGTGGGATTGCAAAGGGTTTGACTTGGTTCAGCCTAGCGTTTCGCAATAATTGGCCACATGAACTCCTACAGTACCCCCAGTGCCGATCATGCGGTAGTTTCCCAAAATAAGGCGACCCCCAAAAATTGCAATCCTTATAGTGGGAACGTCAAAAAAAGGTACCCCTAATTTTGGGAAACCCCCATGTGCTGGTAGTACGGTGGGAGTTATGGGATTTGTTATTTCGGGGGTCGAGGGTGACCATGCTTCATGGCCACTTCATTCAGGAGTTTCCACTAATCTTGGAACCCTTGAAGCCCCCTGCATGCACTATAAGCTTCAATTTGGAACAGTAGTCCCTGATTTTTGGAAATCCAAACCGCAAAACGAACAACGAGAAGGCCTTGAAATGCCTTGAAATCAAAGCCCTCAAGCCTCGACTGCTCACCGTGTTGAGGAAGCAACTATTCAAGATTTTGGATGTGAACAAGGCGTGCTCTAACCTTTGGTGTGGAAAGCTTCGGAGAAGATCTCGCAAGGAAGAACCTGCAACCCAAGTACCTACAGCTTTGTGGTAATTAACCCTTATATGATAGGTCTCACCCATAAAACTGTAGGTAGTTGGTGTTGCAGGTGACTGTTCCATTATATCCCAACAACCCCTTGACCGGGACCCCGAATGCTTGAAAGTTCGCAGCTAGTTCGTAGAAGCAAGTTTCAAGATGTGCAGTACCCGTTTCTGTCGTTGTAGGATGCTGTATTCAGGGTGGCGTAAGGACTGCAAGGATTGGGATTCACCGGGTTGCTGTTGGGGAACAGTGACTATAATCAATCAGGAAACCCTATAAGTTGCTATATGCCATATTATGATAACTCAATCTAAGTTCTGTGGTCTTGCAACATGCTTGTATGCGCTGTAGTATAAGCTCCTTAAAACGAGGTTATAGAGGGGACGATATAGGGTTCCCATTTGAGGGCTTGCTTCTTATCCTGCAGCTCATATAGAGTCAGAAGGTTTGATCGCATTTTTTGTGATGTAATCTGGCTATGGGAAGTTTTCAAAAGCCGGCAGCCCCTCTGTACGGGTTATTCTTCTGACGCTCGTGCGCTTGTGCTGGCCATTTGCATGCACAAGAGAGATTAGAAGCCTGAACACCAATTCTATCGTGGTGGCTTCCATGAACTGGGGACCGCAATATAGACCCAATATATTCCAAAATCCATATTTAGGGGCCCCGAAACGGGCCGGAAAGTCTTTGGCCGAAAAGCCGTCAGTGCAAGTTTGGCCTCGTAGGGGAACAGGGCATCACTAGGGAGTATAGCAGCAAACCTCAATGCCAATGTCCTGCTCATAGGCTGAATGCAAAGCCTGAGCAGGCCAGCAATGTACTTACCACCCTGAATTTGCTAGAGGAGTATTAGGAGATAAAGGAAAGGGCTCCCGTAAAGGATTCTGTAGAGATTTCGCAAAGATTAGTTGCAGGAAAGTTTCCACTGTATGATGCCCATGCAACCTTTGCGTACTGTCTGTATAGCCCTGATATCAACCCTGAGTCTAGTCTAGTCATTCCTATACCCCGTAGAGTCGTAGAGCCTTGGCTACTGAGAATTGGGCTTATAACCCTACCCATGGTCGAGGTAACCTACACAAGGCCATTTAGGGGCAGTAGAAGTAGGGTTACAAGATGTTACAAGCCAAGTCAGAGGCAGTTACCAAGTCACATGAACCCCAAACCCTAAACACTACTAAGTACCCCAGTACTACCCTTTCTCCCTTTTAATTTCGGAGTCTCCACATTCACACTGAACATTAAGAAAAGGGTAACCTTATTATTAGCGGGTTACTGGGGCACCTAGCCAAAACTGCGTAAGAATGAAGTCTAAACCCTGAACCCTCAATCCTAAACCCTACATTAACCCTATATATCCTTAAATAACCCCGTATATCCCTGTATAACCCCTATATGACCCTATATCACCCCTATATATCCTTACTTTACCCTATATCACCCCTACATATCCCTACATAACCCTCTATAATCCCTATATAGCCCTCAACCTTAACCCCTAAACCCTATAAACCTTCAAACCCTAAGCCCTAAACCCTTAAACCCTAAACCCCTAAATCCCTAAACCCCTAAACCCTAAATCCCTAAACCCCTAGACCCCCTAAATCCCTAAACCCTAAACCCCTAAACCCTATAACCTAAATCCCTAAACCCCCTAAACCCCTAAACCCATAAACCCTGAACCCCTAAACCCCTAAACCCTAAGCCCCCAAACCCCTAAACTCCCCAAACCCCTATATAACCTGAAGCCTGGAGGATGACAGTGTCGGAGTGGAAGAGTTCCTGGACGGGTGCACGTGGCCTTGGCCGTTTAGAAGTTCGTGTTTTGTTTGCCGTGCTTCAAGGTTGCGGAGGGATTCTACGGTTTTGGGATTTAGGGTTCTAGGGTTGTAGGGTTTAAGGTTCTAGGGTTCTAGGGTTTTAGGGTTTAGGGTTGTAGGGTTCTAGGGTTCTAGGGTTTTGGGTTTTGGGTTCTAGGGTTCTAGGGTTCAGGGTTCAGTGTTCTAGGTTTGGGTTGTAGGGTTCTAGGGTTGTAGCGTTTTGGGTTTTGGGTTGTAGGGTTTTGGGTTTTGGGTTTAGGGTTGTAGGGTTTTGGGTTTTGGGTTCAGGCTTTAGGGTTTAGGGTGTTAGAAGTAGCAATATTTTTCTGACAACCTACATTCCAAGATTTAAAACCCAGCTTATCATAGTCATCTAGGGAAGGGCCATGTGGGATCATAATTTTGCGGCGCAGGATTCCTTGCACGGGAGGTTTTCAATAAAGACATATCCGATGTTAGGTATGCGCACAGTAGTTTTGTTTTGCATGGACTGGATTTCGTGGCAATTGTGAGAGACTCCTTGGCGGGTCTGTCTTGCCATGTTGGGTTGTTTGGTGTTGCGCGTATCGTTTTCTGGACACCCGTATGATGAGGAACCCTAACCCCACAACCCCAATCCCTAAATCCTGAATTCTTGCACTGTCTATGTTGGATCCGGATGAGTGCGCTAGACCGTCCTTAAAAAAGGGTTTAGGATTCCTATTCAGAAGTGGGAGGGGGGAATCCTCTCCAGGAAAAAATGAGTAATAACTATAGGCAGGGTGCGCGGCCATGGTAGTTCAGCTAAAAGGCTATCAGATTAGCTAGTAGAAAGATCGCCAGAATCGAATCCATTGGCCTTACACCAGCGCCACCAAGCGAACTGGGGGGTGATGCTGAACACTGTCGCCCAAACTTCGCTCAATTCAGAACCTCCACGCTAATTGGGATTCAGCATGATTTCCTAAAAATAATATCATATTCGGGAGATCCAAAGGGGTGTAAGGTTACTTCCTAACGCCATAGGATGTAGTAGGATCTAGGAGCCACACCACTGAGCCAGGGACCATTTCATCAGACGCTGTTGTCATTTGTGGACCAACCAGCTTCTTTGGGAGCGCGTTGGGGATATGAGCTATAGTTTAAACTCCTTAAAGGGGGTTATATAGGGATTATATAGGGGACTACTACTATGGGGGTTATTAAGGGGGATACTAGGAGTTTAGACAGTAGCTCATATGTATTTGGCAAAAGGCCGGTATTTCCGGACAGCTTTCAAATCCTGTACAGCGCATCCTTCCTAAGGTTCACCGAGACTTTTGCTTTTCCAGACTCATGCCGTAGCTCTTATCCAGGGCCATGGTTGCGGAGAATTTGATTTTTAGTTACTATCAACCGACAAGGATTTCGCGACACTACATGAAAGATGTATACATCTTTCATGTAATCTCACAACATGGGACTTGAAAGCCATAATCCCTGAATCCTAAGGACAAAGAGAAAAACCCGCTCAGGCAAGTGCGTGGAAATGCTCGCGCAATCGACCTCTTCACACTCAGCAATCTGGCTGACAAAAGCCGTGCAATTCTGTTGGTCGGATGTACCCAGACCCCTGGGAGGATCTAGAAAGTAGATCCCCCTTTAAGATTCCTCCATTTGGGGGTTCTACTTTCTAGATCCTCCCAGGGGTCTGGGTAGGGTCAAGGATGAGAGTTGCAGCGTTTGGCTGGTTGAACGTTGAACTGTATGAGATATTCGACCTAGGACCCTGAGCCCTAAAACCTGTATTTCAGGCTTTTGAGAACTAATCAGGTACAGGGATCGCCGCAAGCGTCTGATCTTCCTTAGGGGTGTTTGTATACTGTTGCTCGAGAATGCCTCGGTGAAGGGCGTGAATATAGGATTTAGTCATTGAGGATTTAGGATTTAGGGTTTAAGGTTTAGGGTTTAAGGTTTAGGGTTTATGGTTTAGGTTTGGGGTTTAGGGTGTTGTTATCCTACCAATCTCTAACCCTCAATCCAAGGTAAAGTAGTTCTGGGGAGGGGGAGCCGTAGGGCCTCTGGACCATTCATAATCCAGTCAAACAGTGTGTCGAGGTTTGCTTGTGCAGAAGATTGCAATACCCTGCTGGATATAGGGTTCGAGGGTGCAAGTACCCGTTCATCACAACGTATGATCTTGGCCACTAGCTACCCAGAAAGACCGATAACCCGTAATTAGGAATTTATCCTAAGTGATATGAGGGATCTTGAAATTATTTAGGCTAGAGTCCTTAATTAGCGGGCATGGGATCTCTCTGGGTAGCCTTAGTCACGAGCCAGTTTGGTTGGGGTAGGTACTCTGGATGTCTTACCTGAGGCAACTTCAGGGGAAGTTACGTGAGGGGGGCCTGAATGAGGGACATATATATATATATATACCAAGTAACGCTTTGGGGGGCTTAACACAAACGGGGCTAGGTATAGCGAGGCAGAACGCTGGAAAATGCTGGAAAATGCCGGAATATCCGTTAGACTCACTTCAGAGTTAAAATCTACCGCAAACCCTAAACCCAAACCCGACACCTTGAACCCGAAATATCAGGTCAGGGCTTGGGGTTCGGGAGGGCAGTGGGGTCTGCTGCAGTGGGGTATGCTATGGTTTGGTGCAGGGCGGGGAGTTGCAAGTTGTGCTGAGTTCAGGATCATGTACTACAGCCCCACAAGTGCAGAATAGTATACTGTCGTTTTGGGTTCACGTGTGCCGTGCTTTGAGCTAGCGTGAGAGATGGTTTCGTGGCTGTGGGTTTTGTGTTACATCGCTTCATTCAACCTGTGCGGAATGTCAGGGCGATGAGGCTCATGGCGTACCATCAGAGGATCGCCGGATGTAGATAAGATGCCCAAAAAAGTAGTGCTCGCTTTTTATACTCTATAATTAGCACACGATAAGATGGTGTATTCCAAGGTGTTGGCCTCAGGAATGATTATTGAAAATTCCTTCACCTGCGGATCCTCCCTCACAAAACCCAGCACAAACCAGGACAAGCAGCAGAAGCAGGACAACCAGGACAATGCAGCACAAAGAACGACAACTCAAGACAAACCAGGACAAACCGGGACAAACAGGACAAGCAGCAGAAGCAGGACAAACCAAACCATGACAAACCAGGACAACCAGGACAAGCAGTATTTATCTGGCCGGCAAGGTATGCGCATCAGGCGAACGTAACACGCAAGACCTCGCGAGGGCAAGCGCACGGGTGTTTGAAGGTTACCCGTCGGAACAATCAACTTTCGATCAACCCTCATGTAATCCTGCAGATTCCTGCGAATTCTCGCGGCATCCCGCAAACTCACGCCTCCAATTGCACCGCTTTGTACCACCCCCCCTAAGTTCTTAGCTGGTGTATAGGGATATTACTCAAAAAACGAGAGTCAAATATGGAAAATGGCATGGAAAGTGGTAGTTGGTAACTGTATACACCCCGGCTTTAGCATATGGTAGCGCTGTCACCCTCGTATACCCCTTACCCTAAATCCTAAACCTGGCTTGAAAGGCTCCATTGGAAAGCCCAACACCTGAGCGCGCCCGCGCCAGCTGCAAACGCTACACCCGATGTGAGCCATAATCTAAAGTCCTTCAAAGGGGGTTGAATAGGGCCTTATATGGGGCGAGTATTCTAGGGGTTAGTAAGGGGATGGTAGGAGCTTAGACTCTAGCTCATATGGTCGTTTCCTTAAATAGGGACCCGAATATAGACCTTCAAAAGGGTTGTAATCCTTATCATGGGGACCCCCGAAAAGGTACCCGTCAATCTGGGAAAGCCCGTATATATATGTACCCTGGAGCACAACCCAAACCCTAAATCCTAAACCCTAAAAATTGAATCCTAAACCTTGAATCCTTAAAACCTGTCAGTTGAGATCTGTCGAGAAGCTTGGCTTAGCAGAATGGTACTCGGCTTTAGGGTTTGGGCCTGAGGGTTTGATGATGTGCCTACAGGAGAACAATTGTCCCTGAAGAGGTTGCCTTTCTGGGCTAAGGTTTACGGAGTAGGGGTTAGGGTTCAGGGATTAGGGTTTAGGGTTTAAGGATTAATTAGGTCTATAAATTAGGGGTTAGGATTTAGAGACACAAATCTGGCAAGATTCATTGCAAACCAACTGCATCTTATGCGCCAACGCAAGATCCCGCATGCAAGAGGTCATTCAGTATTGGAGAGTACAATGCTTGCTACTAAAAGTCCTGCAAAAACTTCATACCTGGAGAAATCTGATATTCTCGTATACTGACATTTTACAAAGAAATCCTTACTTCGGAAGCCTAATCCAAAATGCCGAGACCCTTCAATGCCCCTAAGAGTTGAAAGAGGTACTCAGACCACGAAGCTCAGAAAGGAGCTGTCGCAGATGTGCAACATGCAGCAGCCTTTCGTCTGCAAAACATGCCCAGAGGGTCCATGTACCCAATAATTTGGTACTTAGGGCTTTGGTAGTAGTAATTACAGTACAGTTGTTGGGCAAGTATATGACTATTAGTTACTTGGACCCTGAGGCACTGTAGAGGCATAAAATTTTAACAGTATCATGCCCTGGAAAACCTTATCTGTTTGTGGTGTAGATAATAACCTGAAACTCTGTTCTGCTTATCTTGGAAGACCCTAGACCCTAAGATGATGCAGGAGTGCCCCCAACTCCTGTTCCAGGTTTTTTTAGTCTGATAGCTGCCATAGCCATTAGGAGGTCGCGGGGGTTCAGCTATACGACTTCTTACATGGCAGACATGATACTCAGTGGAACTCTTACGTGGTGGGGTCACATGGGGCACCTTAGGTAGTGATAGCACTGCGGGCCCGAAGCACTTGCATTAGGCAAAGCTTGCAAAGGGCACAAAGTCATTTGCAGTCAGAGACGTGTAGTGGCTTTTCGAAAGCTACACTGTGGAAAGGCGATACCAGTGCTATCCCAAAGAGGACCCCTTACGATCACCTCACAACACCTATGAGCCAAACCCTAGAAACAGTGAGGCTCATACCCTAATGCATCAACCCTCCCTGTTTTCTGGACACTGTGCAGGCACATGATGACCAAGCTGGACCAGTTGGCCATGAAGGTCCACAAAACTGGATCGTGGCATCACATTTAGGGCTTGCGCGCTCTCCAATCTAGGGTTTAGGGAGATAACCAGTGCATATTGGAGAATCAAGTTTCAAAAGTAAGAAAATAGCAGCGGATAGCGAGACTGGGGTTCTATGCTGGTCTTTAGGGATTAGGGTTTCCTAGAATCGCTTCCTTTCTCTGGGTCCCTAGAAGGAATGCAGTCCTATTTGCTGGTTTATATTGGGGCGCCCTATTTATGAAATCTCCTGAAGACCAGGATATGATGAGCAATCCCAAGCCACTGTTTCAATTACTGAGACCCCAGTACTGCTCAGCATTCCTTAGATTCGTAATTGCCATTGCTATTCTTATTACTACTTACTATTATTATGAGGAATATGGTGATGCTTTATCGTTCTGTTCTTGTTACGATGTTTACTGTTACTGTTCTTATCGCCCAAAGTGAAATGATTGTTTTACGTAGTAGGTACAAGTCAGACATCGGGGCAGGCTTCAGAGAAAAGGCTCTAGAGTGGATGAAGGGCTTCAAGTGGAACCCTGAGGAATTTCAAGTCATTCTTTTCCAGCATGTTCCGTATAATTCTACCTTTAGTATAAGATGTCTTTGAAAACATTTCTGACCCGCCAGACAGAGAAAGAGTGCGCAACAGCTAGGAGTTTTCCGATGAAAATGTGCAGGCTGTCTCTGCAGTTTGGGAAGTGGCATGCCCCCGGTAACATGATGATAGGCGGCAGATTCCGCAACTAGGACTCCTATGCAGGAACGCAATCACTCATTCAGTTGCGGGGTGTCGAGGTTGTCCTGTACTAGGAACCCTCAAAGTCCGCGTCCGCCAGGGCCAGAACTCTGAACACTCTCCTGATGGCCCTTGCCTTGATGGTTTGACCCAACATCCGCCCTCTGCTAAGCTCCATTTTGTGGCTGGAGCTGCGTAATGCTGCTAGGTTCTTTTTGCCCAAGCAACGCACAAGAGGAAATTCCAACCCTCCTCCATCTGGAGAGATCATGTCAGTGGTGGCAGAATAGCACAACCCCTAGTCGTCGTCATATCACCAGCAGCGGCAGCAGCGGTGGTAGTCGCAGTAGCAGGAGGAGCAGTGGTAGTAGGAGCACCAGTAGTAGTGATAGGCAGCAGGAAAAGGAGCAGGAGGAGATGTAGTAGTAGTAAAACAAGAAGTAGTAGTAGTAGGAGGAGGAGGAGGAGTAATGGTGGTGGTAGTAGTAGTAGTAGTGGTAGTAGTAGTAGTAGTAGTAGTAGTAGGAGGAGGCGTACGTCGCCTATTTGACACCATGGTTTTCAGCTTCGAAGACCTGAAATTGCTGGCAGGGCCAGCACTCGTGAACATTCCAGAGTCAGTGAGTTGGGGTTTGGGGGGCGGCGCTTTTTCGCCAACTTAAAATATATAACGTGTCATGCATTGAGATTCACTCCTTTGTTCCGCCTATTTCCAAAA